CAGAATCTGCAAAAAAGTAATCATGATACAAAGCTTCTTTGATTCAGAGAATACGTCAGTATCTTTAGCGCGAAATACATAATACTCAATTCCTCTATTTAGGTTAAAGGTCCGATAATTCTTCAAGAAATAAGCGCTGACAGAATTCTCTTGGAGAAAAATAACCCAGAAATCTAGACTGGCGTAAATTGGGTCTCGCTCGTAACGCCATGCAAAATCAATTGTTCATCCAAAAAACTTCCCTTCACCATCCGGTACCACAAAGACCCACAAAACTAATAAAGTGAAGGAAGTCTGCTAGTGGCTAGATCAATCACAGGACAGCGGACACAACACATGATCTAGTGAGGGAGCCGAGAGGTCAAAGAATGTCCGGCGGGTTTCTTCACTAGCTTGATCATCGTAATGTCAAATACATAGCTTCCGATGTGCAAATCTACATCTATATGATTAGATCTGAGACACTGATTGTAACTTCGGGGTCTGCTTGTATGTTGCCAGAGCTTTCATAATCTTGTTTAATCGACAACTGTGACGAGACAATTCGATGCGTGGCACAGATTGAAGACGGAACTCATTTCAAGACTCAATTGAACCGATCTCTCCGATATCAGTACCTTGAATGTTTCTTAATGTGATCCCATTCAGAACCATTTTTGCACCAGGAACAAATTGGCATCCCATTTCGAGACCAAATTTCGATTATGGGGCAGAAACACTCCAGAAGCCCCGTGTAAATGTGTGTTGCAGATTTTGAATGGCGCAAAGCTCGTTTCTGATTGACCATTTGCAGGTTCCAAGAAGTTTGGAAGTGGAAGGCGATAGCTTAATATTAGTGATATTTTTTTTCGTTTTGAACGCAATGCAAAGACCCGAACTAAAGGCTTCACTGCCAATGATTTGTTGTCATCGAAATCGAGATGGTCGAAAGATGCCGAATAAGAATTTTCAATAGAGATAGCTGAACCAGAGATGCCTCTTTTTCATCGAGAGATTTGCATAAACTGAAAGCGAGGGAGATTTCGATGCTCACGACCTTTGTGATATAAATTTTTGGGTCACCATAAAATAATAAGTCGAAATAACAATTGCTGAGACATGTGAACAAACATGAATTGAACAAATTGAAACCGTCGAAAACAACAGAGCATATCACTCCTCACAAGGTTTCGCAAGCGTTCCTACCAGATCTGCAAATAGTACCTGAAAAAGCCCCCGCGAGTAGATTTCGAACATTCTACGCACTCAAACTCTTGAGAGGTAACGTGCTTTGATATCGAGACGAGAATGACTCTGGTCATCTCTTCTAAATAGAAGTACCAAGACGAAACTCAATACTGAAGTAAAGGACATGAGGCGTAAGTATGCGTAGACACTACTCGCACCGCAAAATTTGTGCGTTTTTTCTTCGGCATCCATATTGTTGGAAATCCTGCAGAGAATTAAATACAACAACAATCATCTACTCAATAAGCCAGCCTGTGAGAGAGCTAGCGTCAACATTGAAGCTCGTCTTGTAAATAGCCAGAATTTCTCGATAACGTTCAAAAGCCATCTAAATTACAAACCTTTCCGTAGACATCTTTTGAGATCAGTAACGTGTGAGTTACAATTAGTGACAAAAGCTTCATTGTGATAAACGTAAATCATATAAGCCAGCTGAATAGAGATAAAAGTGACCATGGCATTTATGTGAGAAGCTGATATGCATTGGACAAATGACCTTGCTCCACGTTTCAAGATGGTTGCCTCGGTTGCTTAGTCATCGGGGACTCGCTGGTGGGACGAAGATGCGTTGCATACCTACCAAAAAACCCCTCAGAACTCTAACCCAAGATCAACTTTCGACAATCAAATTGGGATTCCGACGAAGAATATTGATTTGTTGATGAGTTATCGGAATTCTAAAGGAGAGAAGCTATCGTTCACATTGAGCAGCCGTAGGTCTTGAGCAATCAATCGCAATGAATTATTCCCTTTCCCTCTACATCATCGATTGCTATCACTTAGCAATGCACAAACAATACTGTCCACAAGTATTCCACGATTGAATTCCCTCTTCTGTAGAGGAAGAACTCACAAGAAGAAAGACGTGCGAAGCCAACACCGTTATTGGACTACAAGATACACTTGATTCCATGTGTCAACGAAATAATCATATCAAAAGGAAACTTTTCCTAGGATATCGCCGCCATTCGCGGAATATACGTTTGAATCCTTCGTGGGTCCATCAACGCCGATGAAGGATAGACACGAACGAGGATCCACAATCCCCGAGCTGCCGTTTTCGAACGTCCTCTACGGATCACATGAAATTGCGAGATAAGGTACTGCGACATATGCTTAGCTTCCGGCACTTGAATGTAGTTCATCATGGGGATATCTATCATTGGCGCATATTGGCAAAGCGCCACCTTCACCTTCCTATGTAAGCAAAATCCTCCGCCAAATGTTCAAGCAATTACTTGGCACTTGGTCCCAGACACGATGCTTATCCAGCATTGGCACATTTCGCCAAGGTCCCTTAAGACATCCCCCTTCCTGATGTAGGTTAGCGAAGAAGCTTATCCGACATTACACCACCTCGGCAAATGTCTCGTCCAGCCACTCACAACGCTCGTTGCTTTTTTCTTCAAGAAAGGTTCTAGATATCTATAACAAATCAACAAGACACATTGGACAGTCCGTGTACCAGTGATATCTTGATTAGATCGAGTTGCTATATATGGGAAGGATCTTTGCAGTCAAGAGATGATAATGCGACTTTGTGCATTAAACCGTCTTGGCTTTGACCCTCTTCGTCGCTCATATCAATTGGATGAGGCTGGTCGACATGGACACACGTGAAGACATTGTCGGCTGTAGGTCAGTTTGCATCGTGAAGAACCTGGTGATCAAGATATACAGTTTATGAAATGGGAGGGTTTTAAACTTACCTGCCTCATCTGGCAGATTGTTATCATTTGACAATGGAGAGGGAATCAGTACTTAAAGTCCTGCACTTTCGCTCTCCATTGAAAGAACATCCTCCCAGTCAAGTCTCAATTCAGATCAATACTCCAAAGATCTCAACATGATTTCCAAGATTCTCCCAGTCGCCGCTCTCGCTGGTGCAGCTATGGCTGCTACCAGTTGCCCTCTCTCAGTTGAGATTGCTGGCACCGCCGATCATGTTGCTCAAGTCGCAATCACCAACACTGGTGCAGAGACCCTCACTCTCTTCAAGGGTAACACCGTCTTGAGTGAACACGCTACTTTGGACGTCGTAGCTGCTACAGGTATGTTCAGCTCCTGGATTCGAATGGCAATCTCTCTTGGAATCAAAACTGACTGTCTACAGCTGATAAGGATCTTGAATTCAAGGGAACTTATGTCAACTACAAGCGTACCGGCCTTGCTCCTGAAATGTTCCAAACTCTTCAACCTGGCGAGACTGTCACAGCTTCTCTCAACGTAGCCAAGACCTACAATCTTGAAGGTCTTAAGACTGTTGATGTTACCGCTATCCAAGGTTTCAGATATGTCATTGGAGAACGTGCTCCATCTGCTTTGAGCCAAACTACTCTTTGCGACGCTGTCACCTCCAACACTGTGACTATTACCCCTGATCAAAGCAAGGTTGCATCGTAAGTACCATCACCGCCCGAAGCCGATAGTGGTTGCTAACTTTTCCTCCAAGTGATCTTGTCAGCAGAGATGAGCCATTCAACTCACGTATCTCAAAGCGTGCCATTACCTACAGCAGCTGCAGCACCTCTCAAATCAGCGGCCTTAGGACTTCAGTCGCTGATGCCATCACAATGGCTACCAATGCTTACACTGCCGCTGGTACTGGTGCCGATTACTTTACCACCTGGTTCAAGTCTACCTCCGAGGAGAGTACCGTTCGTGCCATCTATAATGATGTCAAGAACGTTCAAACCACAGGCCCAAAGATCTCTTGCACAGACACCTACGGAGATTGCTCTGACGGAAGTGCCTTGCTCTACACAGTTCCCAGCGCCAACGTCATTGTTCCTTGCCCAAACAATGGATTCTATGGCTTTCCTGAGTACTCAGCTACTTGCTCGGATTTCGATTATGACCGTGCCGGAAGTATCTTGCACGAGATGACTCACTTGTACGGTACCGAGGATTGGGCTTATGGACCAACCGCTGCTAAGGCTTTGTCTGCTGCTCACGCTGCCAACAACGCCGATACCTACGAGATGTATGCTGGATCCGTCAGACTCGGTGGATGCACTGGTTAAATTACCTCATACTGAGTGGGATGTTGAATTTGTTGGAGTGATGGAGTGATTGAAATGGCGGGTTCGATAAGAGCCTTTACGATTTGCAAAGAGAAGGGCCTTTATGAATCCCCAGGCCTTCTTTGATATTTGTTGTTGTAGTACTTGCAGCGAAGTTTGAAAGATAATAGTACATATATTTGCTTCCTTGATAACTTTTCTCTATTTTTAGATTCAGAAGTGAATTCTAAGTTTGTCGTGTCGTTCAAATCAGCTGTGACATTTTTGAGGGGTGAGTCACTAAATGAGCCGAAATTATATTGACCTTCGCCAGTGCAGGTTACTTGATTGTTGATATTCGGTCATTGCATACTCATTTATCACACATAAACACATTCATATCAAAGCGTAAGTCTTGAATAATCTCAAACACATTACTCAAAACATCTTTGCTGATACTGTCATCTCCCACAGAACTCTAACTACTTAATAAAATAGTATTCTACGCGTACGCGCCTAAATTCCCCATTTAATCGTAGGTCTTTGGCGTCCCGTATGTAATGATCTCTAGGCTAACATCATCATTAGAAAATGCAGTTCAAACCTCGCCCGGCCCGCATATTTTTCCCCTTTATCATCCTCTTGACGATATCCAGCATATTCCCACCTCTCGCTCTTGCTACAAACTATCCTCGCAAAGGAGAAAGCTACAAATGGCGAGACGTCTCACAAGATCTACCCATCTAGCCCCAGACCTGCAATACGACCTTCATGACCACCGGTCAGTGTACCCTCACAAACCTCATGGCTGTTCCTGTGTACACCGGGGAGAATAGAAATCAAAGATCCAATTTAATTATCTACGACTCGAAATGCACTGAGATAGGACGTCAAGATGACGTTCTTCAACGTGATAAATATATTGCGATTCATTCGACTCTTCCGAAGATGGTCACTATTAGAGAATCGCAAATGGGGGCGGGAAAATTCATTACGTTTAAATATTCGAGCCACACGGGCACCAAAGATGACTTTCTTTGCTATAGTACCGGATGGGATGCTCATCATCAGCAAATTAAAGCTTGTTCTGCGCCGTTCAATTGTACGGCTGCTGCACATTCTGCTGCAACTGTTAACAGCTTGGACTTAGATGTTCTCTTGGTAGGTGTACTAGCTTTGGTCGTAGCTGTTACGAGTTGATGGGTGGCAGGTTGAAAAGAGAGCTCATAGGAGGGAGGGGGGATGTATTTTATATTATCCGTTGCTTTCGAACATTCTGGTATCTTGATTAATTTCAGGAATTCAATTCTTACCCTATTGCTTATCTACCTAGGAAATGATTTTGAGTGTGGATATGAATACCTACTAGGTACCTATATTGAAGATGGCTAGAAGTTGAGTACCCAGATATCGTGGTCTCGTTACGAGAAAAGCCAATCTCATTTGAGGTAAATCTCCTTCACATTGATCCTTCACCATCTCCTGTTCTCATCCCATCCCATCTCGTATTATCAACCAGCCCTCAGAAATAGAAAAACAACCATGAAATGCTTCAAATCAACCAAAATATCACAGATGAATAACCAATATCATACATACACTTAGCACACCCACATTCTCTATTCCAATACATCGCTCAAAAACTCTCAAACTCTTTCCAAACCTCACGATCACTTGAACGCACGTGCCAGCTCCAATCAAGTGGTCGATGTGCTTGCTCTTTCCCATTTTGGCACTTTCCAATTGCTTAAATTCCACTAGCGAGATTTCACTTTCACCTGTACTTCTCGTCCGATTTTTCTTCTTCTACTTTCTTTTCTCAATCATACTCGTATTCTCATGTCTGAGGGGGGAAGTATATCTTCATTTCATCGATTTTATCAGGTATCTCGTGTGTTTTCATCTGTATTTCGTGTATTTTATCATATTTTTCTTCTCAGAGACGAGAATTATCCTCACTTGATCTTCTTTCATTTACTCAGGACTCGACGGTTGTACTTTATCATCACTCTATCTTCTCCGATTGAATATTCATCTTTAAATTTATCGATTCTGGTGCCATTCAATCTTCTCGGATGATTTCACCAAACGTAAAGCGTCTTCTCTATTGACTCATCTTACTTTTTCGGATCTTTAGTAGGTAAGCATTTGTGCTTGGAGACTTTAATATTTTTGGTCCTCGACATTTGTCAGGCTATTTGTCGCTCTTGGTTCGGCTTCATTTTCAAGGTTTTGCTGCTGACCGGATGTTAGTCATAAAATCAGCAGCCATGAAGTCTGAAGCTTCTTCTGAAATTAAGCAGGAAGCTACTGATGGCACGGTTGATCTAAGACCTGTCCATGTGCCCCGTGGATCCTTGTAGCATGATTGCGTCGTCCTCTTTCTCAGCCACAACGTCTGCGACTACTTCTGGAGTCAAGCGTAAAGCTTCACCAGATATGTCCGACGATATTTGGACAGTAACTCCTCGAAAAAATCATCTACACGTCGCGACTACAGGTACTCCGTCTACGATACGCTCAAGGGACTCGGAGTTCTTTTCAGATTTGAGTGATAATTGTATTGCCACCTCGGACACATCCGGCGAGAGAATTGAGAGTTGCAATTCTTACGCCGTAAACATCGGTGATTCAAGAGTAAATGTATCCAGCTCCCGACAGAGACCTACAACTGAGTTATACATCAAGTAAGTACTCTTCACACATGCGGTGATGACTCCAGATACTAATGAAGTATGTACAAATAGGATGGTGGTGGGCCCAAAAGTTAACATAGTTGTTGGTCCTGAGAAGAAATCATTTGAGCTACCAAAAGATCTCCTCGCATACTATTCTCCGGTCTTCGATAGATCCTTCAATGGAAACTTCATAGAAGGTCAGACACAAAACAATGGAATTGCGAGAATATACTGTGAAAGATTTCGAAGTTCTGGTAGAGTACGTTTTCCATCAACGGTGTCGGCGACAAACTCTCCATCTTGAAGGCATGGGCGACATGCAGCTGAACATTGCATTTCCTTCTTAAAGTACGCGGATAAGTACGACCTTGGAGATGTAAGTACTTTGGTATACGACGCTCTTCGAACGACCTTGATAGAGGGTGGTGCATCGGCTTTTGAACCTAGCTTCATAAAAAGTCGTTTTCTCACTCACAGAAGATGGCAATTGCTTACGAGCACTGATGGTCGACGGCCGCACTGTCATTCCAAGGGGATACTTTGGGAAAAATATCCAAACGATTTCAGATCAATTTCGAAAAGCAGAGGCTGAAGTGGAGGGCTTCACATCTGCTCTTTATTGCCAACTCAAAAAATCTGTTTCCTGTAGTTATCGGGCTCCCTTTTACTATCGAAAAAAACATAAAGATTTCGATTAAATTTGATGAGAGACAGATATGAAGAGCAGCACTGGTGTTTAGGACATAGCCTTTTTGCTTCTGGGTTGACGGGAGTCAGTATAAGAATTTTCGTGTGATTCATTACTCATTTTTTCCTCGCTTGAAGAGGGTAATGACAATGAGTTCAGTCGTCGCAAGGGATCAGAGGATTTGAAGGATTGTGTATTCTGAACCCTTTAACAGTCGAGAGATATCTCTCTGATCACCATTTACAGAGCACGCTTCGCTAAATCTTTGCATTTGCACATCTTAACAAACGGTTTCATCAAACACATTATAAATCTTCGCTACTATTGAGAAATTTGTCAGAGATAATCACAGTGAGTTTCCAATGTTCTTTCAGTGTGAATGATTTCAAAGACCCAATTTAACCCGCATTCACATCGCTTGGACATGTTGATCGGAAGTCACACTGAAAAAGTTTTGAGAAACAATTACACGCCTCTCTGCCCTGAAATATCCAGGTCTTTCGAATTCTTCAAACAATGAAATGTATTTTATCGTTTCCCACCACCCTATTCTCTGTAACCCATTTCTCCCTTCATATTTTCTCTCTCTGTCTACCTCATTCCGCATTTTTGACCCCTCCCCTCCCAATCTTCACCTCTCTATCCATCTTTCAATACATCGTAATTGATTATCCATGATCCATAATCCAAAAACCGTAGTATTAATGGTAATGTTAATGATAATGAATAGTATCACACTCCTCCCACATTAAGAAGTAAGTAGCATACCAAGTTTGAGGCGCAGAGAGAGGTAGGTAGATAATAGTATAATATAATATAACTTACAGAAGAATTGTGAAAAGGTAATCGGGATTGTTGGATGTGGTGAAGTTGTGAAGGAAAAGGAAAAAGAAAAAGAAGAAATGAGGAATGAGGAATGAGGAATGAGGAATACTCTTCATCTTGACTTCAGACTTTGGGGGTGATGTAGAGAGGGAGGGAGGTAGATGAGTAAGTATGCAGGCGCTGCAGGTACTTTATTGTGGATAATTATCTACCCGCCTAGAACTCTCTAGAGAAAAGGAATGGGCGCTGTGGAAGCATCGATAGATTAGTCACTCGTAAAAAGGGTAGAATACGCATGAGTCTGCAAAGTCAAAATTTATATTATTTGCCTAATTACTCGCTCGCCGTCATAGTTTTGTTCATGCGAGAATGTATGCACAAGATCATATACAAGTATCAAATGCCCTCAAACTCAGGCAAGCACTCTCTCCTTTCTGTGGCAATCTCTCTTCCATTCCTCCATCCACTTCTTCACAAATGTAATCTCCTGGCTCTGTACTTTCTTAATCGTCTTCGGAGGAAGGCTCTTAGTAGTCTCATTTGCCAAAAGTCCATTTTCATCCCAATGATGCACTGCTCCTTCAATCAAGATGAAAGGTTGGTCAATCGTAGAGGTCCGATTGAGTGCCGTAGTATTGAAAGGTGAAGCGTGAGGAGTAGCCGGACGCCAAACATCTTGTTCGCCATCTATATATGCTAGTCTTGGGTAAGTGAGATTGAATCCACCGTATTTGTTTATATTTTCGACAGCTGGGGGAGTTGTAATGTTGAAAGATTCAGCACAGATGATGGAAAGGTAGGGAAGATCAATTGTGCGGGAGAGGAGAGGGAGTTGATTTGCGGGGACAGAAGCACCGTTTTGGAGGTATCCCCATTCGGTACAGTATTGGTAGGGCCACAGACGCCAGTCTTGGGACGCATCGTCTTGCGCGTAGTAAGTAGAGTTGTGGGTCGAGTAGCAAGAATCTTGGTTGGGGGAACAATCACCGAAATTGGTGGCAGTATAATCTGGAGTTAGTTAGTATGTGCAGGTGATACGAACAAGATTTGGGGCGAAGTTTCTTACCAGTTAACCAACCAATCCAGTTCAAATATGGAATTGTCAAGCTGTTGAGTTGAGAACCATAACCACCCTTTGTGAGCAACTTCTGAACTTCCGTTGTAGAGCTATTCAAACTTGGCCAAAGAAGTTTTTTACTAGTAACATTGCCACAATAGTAATCAAAGTATGGTGTTCCTTCAACTTCTGGATCCCCAATTTTTGCTTGCCATTCCCACATTCCGTACATGACTACCGACATGAAATCATTGGAATAGGTAACGTTTGGAAGTCCCCAGACGGATTTAAGTTCTTGGACTAGAGCGGTGTCGTTTTCTTGTCCAATGACAATGTTATCCATAGAATTGGTGATGAGTTGGGTATTCTTGACACATTTTTGATCGGCATATACGCGGATAGGCTCAAAGTAATCCCAGTAATCGTAGATAGCTTCAACGACACCACTGGAAGAGATTGTTCCTAATCACATGTTAGTCACATTATCCTTTTTATTTGAACTTTGGAAGAAAGGAAATAACTTACCCCAGAAAGTGTCAGGATATAACTTTCTCAAGAAAGCATTGAAGGCACCAGCATAAGAACCTCCATACCCAATGTAAGCCACATTTGGTGCAGTCAAATTATGATCTTCCAATCCCGGAAAGACAATGTTCCTAGCAAAATAAACCTCATCCATCAATGCCTGTTCGGTAGTCAAGAACCTCAAATTCTCAGTTGAGAAATCCGGGGTTGGAATACTTTGGCCATAATAACGATGTTCAAGCACGACACCAATACCGTGTGTCGCAACAGCCAATTGATGTAATATACCTTTCTGTAAGAATGGTAATCGTCCTTCGGCATCTGTTTCTCCTGATTGGAGAACGATTACTGGACCGCCAGGTTTATAATAGGTAGCGTCGAACCAATAGCGGAGTGGGAAGGTTCCATTGCTGTGAGGTTCATAGCGAGACTCATTGTGGAAATAATCAATTGGGACGGTGAGATTGTAGGTTGGGTAGAGTAGTGAGGGATCAACGTCGTCGCGCTTGGCTAGTTCTAGTTCTCGACGGGAAATGGTGGTTCTCTAGTTGTGGGTATTAGCTTGGAATTAGTGGGTGTAAGGAACTACTAGGTAAATCGGGCGGTGTGAAATGGAGGAGTGTGGAGAGTAAAAGGGAGCTTACGCTTAGTTTCGATCAACACCATTTGGATATATTGATGTGAGAATCCACATTGAAGAAGGCGCAAATCGCACCAAACTGTATAGAATGTGGAAAGCATGGTTGTAAATTATTTGGTGTTGTCTCTGGTAGATTTTTGGTCCTCGAGGGTTTATTTATCTAGAAACCCAATAGGATCCTAAGTTTCCTAATACGGCGAAAACACCTTGATGGGCTTTGCTGTACATGATGTCAGTTCAACCGTAGAGTTTGAATGAAATGGCCGTTTCTCTTAAATTTGGAGACTGCCGTATTCCAAGGCTAGGTATCATACTTTCCTATTAACACAGTGGCAGTGAAGGGGAACTCGGGAGGATGGAATCGAATTGAAGGTGGCGGGGTAATTTATGAACAGCGACAAAGAGAGTGAGTGGCTAAGATTAAACATAAGAGAAAGTAAATACTAGGTACATACCCGACCACGGAAATCTACTGACTTCTTCCAACTCAAGTCAGTTAATTTCAATCGATTTCAATTGAGTCCCTCTCTCAAAAATCCGTCTACTTCCAACATCCACAGAAATGGCGACATCATCTCTCTTTATATCATCCATACCTACCCTAACCCGAGCTACCCATGTCCATCTACATCAGCTATATGCAAATGGAAGTAAGATGTTCACAGATGGGTTCCAGATCAAGAAGGTGTCCACCATCGTATCACACTGGCGTGCCGATTATTTCAAGCAGAGACAAATGAAGTACGAAGTCGTACGAATTAGGTGAGCAAAACCTAATGAGTAGTACTTTCCTGTTATCGGCTCAATCTAGGTTTGCATCATCAAAGTGGAGATGATCTTATCGTGGAATGAATGATAATTGGATTGACATCACATATTGCCATGATATTGGCTGTGACTTTGGGACCTTCTTCTTTGAGAATGGGTTCCGAGATGGTTCCTGGGCTTGTGGCTCGTGTAGATGTGCATTGAATGTGTACAGACAGACGAGACAGAGTATAATATCTCCTAGGTGCTAGGTAATCAGTGAGGGGAAAGTGGTGAATGGTGGATGGGATGGATAATAAACCAGAGGTTGGGATATGCTTTTGAGCTCCACTTTGATGGGCGGGAGTGGTTATGATTGGTGTGTATTTCCTACATCTATCGATTGGTCAACTCTTGTTTCTTCTCTTGAAATATTTTGATACTTCACAGCAGCAATATCAAAGAATACGGAAACTTCTCATGAGCGTTGATTCAATATTCGCTCATGGGTCTCTCATTATACTACTAGGTAATTATTCTCACCTTGAACCGTTTCACCACATATTTCACAACGTTACCCTCACAATTCGAAGCTTAAAGGGTTCTGGAGAATCAGAACAATACGAAGAATATTCTGAGATGGATGGAGTCTAATATTGTTCCATGAACTCTTCGATAGAATTGCTTCTTCTGGCCGTCTGAATCATGGTTTAACCCATACATATCAGCATCGGAAATACTGTTTGAGACTCTGGCTTGGGGAGTCCTGACGGTTTGCTAAATATACATGTGTGTCTGTTTTGTTTTTCCCATGCATCTTGCTTTCAATCCCGAGTAGCTTATCAGATTCATGGAACATGATTGGAATGTCAAAGTGATCGTGTTTTGATTCGAGTTGGCAATCTAAATCTCAGGGCTCTCCGTTATCGTTCAATACAGTACTATCGTCACTTTCTTGGATTCTCCCAGCTATTTAAATTATTCGTCCTGGCCGTGCAAAGTCGTCGCACAAGAATTTGCCCGTCATGGTTTCTTATCTTCACGTGCGTCAGGATCCTCCCTGTCAGCCCCCTTATTGAGTTTTCCGTATCCCATCTTTTCATTCAAAAGCTCAATTCAGGACATAAGAGATTTCAGGAGAAACATACCCTGATACCACGCTATTGGGTCGACTTCCCGTGCGATTTCTATGTCGTCTTATCCCATGAGTCCAAAACGATTACGTAATTACAACCTGCAACGATTATCAGGTCGGCTAAGTTGAAATGCGTCTACTCAATGTCCACACGCGTCAATTGGAAGACTTCACTGCCACCAAAATCCCCAGGTATGCGATTTTATCTCATACTTGGGGTGGTGAAGAGGTACTTTTTCAAGATCTCGCCAATTCTGAACACAAAAAGAAGAATGGCTACTCGAAAATCGAAGGTTGTTGCCGACAGGCGATCATTGATGGCTTTGAATTCGTTTGGATAGATACTTGTTGTATTGACAAGAGCAGCAGTGCCGAATTGTCCGAATCCATCAACTCTATGTATGCTTGGTATGAGAAGGCTGCTGTATGTTATATCTACCTGATAGATGTTCCGTCCTCCCAAGATCCATATGAGATTGATTCGGCGTTTCGAAAGAGTCGTTGGTTTACTCGAGGTTGGACATTACAAGAATTGCTTGCACCTAGCAAGATTGTTTTCTTTCATCAGGAATGGGACAACGATTTTCAATGATTCAGTAATGGCCGAACACGAAGACAAAAAGTCACGTAGGGCTGATCTTCCAAGACAACGCATGGTTCTGCTTGAAGAAATCACGGGCATTGGAACTAAGTACTTTGAAATTGAGTTTGGCGAAGCTAGCGCCCAAATTGCTAGTGGTTGTAAATTTTCGTGGGCTGCCATGCGAGAAACAACTCGACCAGAAGACGCTGCCTATTGTCTACTAGGTCTCTTACAAGTCAATATGCCGTTGTTATACGGAGAAGGAAATAAGGCATTCCAACGCCTACAAGAGGAAGTCCTCAAAAAGAACCAAGATCTAAGTATACTTGCTTGGGGATTTGATATGACTTGGCGAGAGACTTCCTTACGGACAAACATGGGTTTACGCTCTTATGGTATTTTGGCGCCGTCATCTCATTATTTCAGAAAGTTCCCTGTTTCTCTGTCGAAATTTGATAACCACTTAAAATTGGCTACCCATTCTATGATGACAAATCTGGGGTTAAATATAAACTTACCTCTGATGTGTATCAATTCATCACTAGGTATTTATCTTGCTTTTATCAGTGGGTGGGCAGTCGCGCGGCTTGGGAACAAGCGTGAAGCATTCGTCTTACCTTTGCTGAAACAAGAAGATCAACTTTTTGAACGCCTTTCTGGAAGTCCCCCCGTCGTCTCCGTCACTTTAACCAAAGGGTCAAATCGAAAAATCAAATGGAAATCAATATATCTCATTCAACCGAAAAGCACACCCTCGACTTGGAAGCCCCGGAAATTCAAATCGATCAACGACCTAGATTTCTTATTTTTTCGTCCAGGCCAATACACCATTGAACAGTCAGGCTTTCAATTATATCATAATCAGATGAGCACAGCCGGCTTTTCAGTAAGAAGTGTATTCCCGCCTGGGTTCAATGATTCGGCATCACATCTCACATGGGAATCGCTAAGCAGGAATTTTGAAATAATCTTGGTTCTCTCTAGAAACAATACAGATTGCTGCGTCATTTACGTGAAGGGACGAACCACGAGCAGAGATCGTATCAGAATAAGCAAAATGGCGATTGCACGTTGTGAGCCCTCGCTTTCCGCATGGCAATGGCCTCATCACCTCGCTATGACGGTAGGCTCAGCGCATTTGAATTGGGGATCTTCTGTGAGCTTTCATTCTGATCGCGAAAGGAAAGCGGAGCATGCTTCGCTGGAGCTGAATACTGGTGTGGCGAGTTGGCATGGAAATTTTGTTGGGATTGTTATCAAGCATCGTGTTGGAGCAAATGGATAAAATATTGGAATGGCTCTTTGATAATGCTTGTCTGCATATGTTTAATTGTGTAAATGGAATAGCATATTTGGTTATTGCTACTGGCGTGAAGGTGTCTTTGTCTTGTTCAAATGGAAATGGTTTGGCGTACTGGCGTAGGGCCAGGAATAGTGTGGAAAGTTCACGCTTGTATTCTATTTTCTCAATTACTCAAAGTGTAGTATTTTCATATGGGTGTTATAACACTTTTTGTTGTTATATTCCTCATACAATTGAGAAGTGTGGATATCGATTGTTTTGAGTGTATTATAACATACTAGGTATTTACGAGGTATCTACCTACTGATGAAATTCATACTCTTACTCATACTCATCTTATATAACATAGATATAAACATAGATATAAACATAAATACAAAAATAAATACAAAAATAAATACAAAAATAAATACAAAAATAAATACAAAAATAAATACAAAAATAAATACAAAAATAAACAACTCACCCTATCAGAAACTAAAAATCGCAATGAGCGAAAAGAGTACTATAGAATTACTATATAGACGTATAGAGAGGAACTCTTTCAACTAACAATCTATTCGCGGACTGAAATGGAGTAATAATGTCTGTTTAGTACTTACTATTTACTATCATCTACTTATTATCTGGTGTAAACCACCTACTTACATATCTAGATATCTATCTAGGAAACTTAACTATAGTCTCTCCCTTTCTAGTATCTCTTTTATCTTTCATCTTTCATCTAGCATGGAGTACCAGGTATGTAAGATCTTACTAAATATACATATATACAACATAAGAATAAAGCCTGCACGAAAAACAAGCAATATACAATAGGAAGGTTGATTGGGGGATGCTAATTGGATGATGATTGGATGTATGAGATGGATGAGATGGATTAGATTATTTGGGGAGTTTTGTTTTGTTTAGATACTCATCTACAATAGGTAGATTATTTTGGTGAGATTCTTTTGTTTTGTTTGATTTAATTTGGGGAGAGAAGTAATAGTAATTTGGGGTCTCCAGCTGGAAATGCATGGAGGAAATACATGAAGGAGTGAGGGGCGAGGAGTGATGTGATGTGATGGATTACGGGGATGGGAATAGGAAATGCTGCGGGGTGGAGTGGGGGTGCAGGGGTTAGTTCACCTAGGTACTTGTACTTTTGCCTACCTATCTACCTAGTAGGTAGTTTTGGAGGAGAGGGGTGTAGGGGCGAGGAGAGGAGATGAGGTAAGGGTGTGGGTTTGTAGATTGGAAGATTGAGGATTGAGATTGAGGATTGAGGATTTGAGATCGGGGGATTTGTTTTGGGGGGGTGGAGTGGAGTGGAGTGGAGTGGGTAGAGTAAGATTTGGGATATGGAATATGGAATAGTCGTCAAGAGAGTATCGAAAGTCCATATAAATGTCATTTTCAAGACATTTTGAGTGTCTCCCGAGAATTTTGATTTTGTCGATATATATGCAAGCAACAGACGCAGCGATTGAAAACTCCTAGAATCCTTAAACATTTCTATCCTCTGCTATCCGATTACTTAGCCACTCTTTGCTATTCTATCCACCTATCTATGGCTTTCCCTGGTAATTATAAACCAATCTAATCTTCAACGCCTCATTCCCCTTCTTAACCACCACTCTCCGGGTATGATATCTCTTTCCATCAATAATTGCAAATCCCCAGATCTGATTTGCCGTCCATCCCTTCTCCTCATTCACAGCATAACTCTGCACATGTCTTTGGCCTTCCGGTCCACTATTTTCCTCCTCCCCCTCCAACCATCCGTCTCTCAAAAACGCATCATCATCAAATTCCGCCGCTTGTTCCAGAGTACAAAAACGAGATTGCGCGGCGATTTTCCCAAACAGATGATCTTCGTGAGTGCCAACTGACCAATCGAGGACTCGATATTCCGAGGTGCCTTTGAGACCACCGGTCGCTGTTTGATCAATGTCGATGTGTGGAATTTGGTTTTCGTCCATGTATTGTTTGACGTGAAGGGTTACGGTGGCGAGGGAGATGGCTTTGCGCGTCCACCAGCCTATACCTTGGAGGGCGAGGACGGCGTCGGTATCGTCGGAGAGGGTTTTGTTCTGGGTGGTGTTAGGATATGAAGGTGAGATGGTATGGATAAGGGAGAGGAGAGTTTCTTACCATAACCCAATTTCCACTTAGATCCTTCAACGTAACTTCGGGACCAGCTGCCATTGTATGGTTTGTGTTGAGAGTTTGTTGTTAGTTGTCGAAGTGTTTCTAAGATGGAAGCTTAAGGTATTAAGCGGGGTAAGGTAAGAAGTAGCTATGAGGTGATGCAGAAGTTCCGGATGGTACCCAGGTAGGTGCTAGGTAGTTTTGGCGATATGCAGGTTAAATAGATAAGGCAATGCAATACAACAGCAGGGAAAAGAACAATATTCGAGGAAAGAACAAACAATCAAAAGGAAATCGACGTTGATACTTATATCTTTAACTACCTACCTACCTATGCCCATGGCGCCATAACTCGTACCTGCAGAAAGTCTATGTCTCAAAATGTCGATATCACAAGCATTGGTACCTGTTTACACTTTTGATATGGGATGCGACGTCCTATCACCTCGGTACGTGCTGACTGATGTGACATAAATTGTGGAGGAATCGGCTCACATGTGTTTTCGGGTTCGTTTTATCTTTTGCGAACCTTGGAACCGTGCGATGCGAATGTTACCACGGTGGAGCTTCTTGGATGAGACGGGTGTGGGATTTGAGACGGGCTCGACGGGGAGAAGGGATTCCGATGATTGCGAATTTCAGATTAATGGTGGAGTCCTGCTTGCTCCGAAGTAGGAACGATTATCTTGAGCAATGATGTGAGTTGTTGAAAGCTGGAGGGAGTGATTTCTCTTCATATTGTCATCCCCTCCCTCCCTCTCACCTTGTTCCGGATGAGAATTATATTCAAGTGAGATTCAGGTTGAAAGGGGGGTGGTTATGAGATGAAGACTTTAAGCGTTGCTATTGCAAACACTTGATAGGTATGTAACAAGTACCTACCTAGTATATCCAGCTACCTGGCCTGGCTCTATGTAACCGAAAAAAGCAGCGGAAATTGATTATCATTTAAAAAACTTTAACAATCGAAATCTCTTCTCAATATAATATTAAATAATAAAAACACTGAATATCAATACAAAAAATACTCAAATTTTCATTTGCTTTTTTCAAATTTCAATATTTAATCTGAAATGAATTTATAATCTATTAAAAAGATTTTTGAAAGAATATTCAATTTCCACCGCTTTTTTCGGTTATATAGAGCCTAGCATCCAATTATTGATGTGTACCCAGGTAGTGAATTTATCAAGTTCAAGCTTCGATTTATAAAATCTTCAACCAATCAAAATGAGTTTAATCAGCAACACTGAGCAAAGCTGGGGTTCGTGGATTCTTCGGCCTCCGATATCGATCTCGAGAAATAATACTTGAAGTGGGTGGGATTGACTATTTGGAAAGTGTCAATTGCTTTCATCCTTCATCGTCTTTGCCTGTAAGAGAAGTACAGGAGAACTCTCATACTTCTCCCTCCATCCTGAAATTTTGGAGCATCGACAAAGACAAAAGTTGAAGTCATTAACTTTACTTACAACATCCCTCAAACATGCTCTCACAATTGAGAACGAGGGCAAATGCCTCTCTTCTCACCTCAAGAAGAGCTTCACAATATGTGTAAGTATCTGCGAAGTCTATTCCCTCTCAATCGACTGATTTGATCTCCAGACGCTCTTTATCCTCCACCTCATCTCTCCGCACATCCTCCAATGACTCAGAACCACAACTCAACAGAGTCTCATCTACTATTACACAACCCAAATCACAAGGTGCTTCGCAGGCAATGTTATATGCCACGGGTATGACCGAGGAAACATTAAATAAGGCACAAGTTGGTATCTCTTCAGTATGGTGGTCCGGAAATCCTTGCAATATGCATCTTTTGGAGCTCAACCACAAAGTGAAGGAAGGAGTAGAGAGAGCGGGTTTGGTAGGATATCAATTCAATACCATTGGAGTCTCGGATGGTATTTCCATGGGTACAAATGGTATGAGATACAGTCTTCAATCAAGAGATTTGATTGCGGATAGTATTGAAACTGTTATGGGCGGCCAATGGTATGATGCGAATATCTCGATTCCTGGATGCGACAAGAATATGCCTGGTGTCATGATGGCAATTGGCAGAGTTAACAGACCAGCTCTTATGGTTTATGGTGGTTCGATTAAACCAGGATGTGCCGCAACTCAAAACAACGCAGATATCGATATTGTCTCGGCATTCCAAGCCTACGGACAATTCATTACTGGAGAGATTACAGAAGAACAAAGATTCGATGTTATTCGTCATGCTTGCCCAGGTCAAGGTGCATGTGGTGGAATGTATACTGCAAATACAATGGCATCAGCTATTGAAATTATGGGAATGACTCTTCCTGGATCTTCTACCAACCCCGCAGATTCAAAGGCCAAGTTACTTGAGTGTTACGCCGCTGGTGGCGCAATCAAAACTCTTCTCAAGGAGGACATCAGACCTAGAGATATCATGACCAGAAAGGCTTTCGAAAATGCTATGGTTCTCGTCACCATCACTGGAGGATCTACTAACGCTGTTCTTCATCTTATTGCTATGGCAGATGCTGTAGGAATCAAGCTTACAATCGATGATTTCCAAGCTGTTTCTGACCGAACACCTTTCCTTGCAGACCTCAAACCCTCTGGTAAATACGTCTTCAACGATCTTTACAGCATCGGTGGTACTCCTTCTCTCATTAAACTCCTCATCAAGGAAGGTGTCATTGATGGATCAGGAATGACTGTTACTGGTAAGACACTCGCTGAGAACGTCAAGGATGCTCGTGATTTCCCATCGGACCAAGAAATTATTCGTCCATTTTCAAACCCTATCAAAAAGACTGGTCACATCCAAATTCTCCGCGGTTCCCTCGCACCAGGCGGATCTGTTGGTAAGATTACCGGTAAAGAAGGGTTACGATTCGTTGGAAAAGCTAAGGTTTATGATGCTGAAAATGATTTTATCGAAGCCCTCGAACGTGGCGAAATCAAGAAGGGAGAGAAGACTGTTGTAGTCATTCGTTATGAAGGACCAAAGGGTGGACCAGGTATGCCAGAGATGTTGAAACCATCCTCGGCAATCATGGGTGCAGGACTTGGAAAGGATGTCGCTCTTATTACCGATGGACGTTTCAGTGGAGGATCTCACGGATTCTTGATTGGACATATTGTACCAGAGGCACAAGTTGGTGGACCAATTGGATTGGTTAGAGATGGTGATACTATTGTTATCGATGCTGAGACGAGAGTATTGGATTTGGAAGTTGAGGGTGGTGAGGAGGAATTGGAGAGGAGGAGAAAAGAATTCGTCGCACCTCCGTTGAAATATAACAAGGGTACTTTGGCAAAATACTCGAGATTGGTACAAGATGCTAGTCATGGATGTATTACCGATGGAGAAATTGTTGAGGCATGAGGGAAAAGATGATTTTAGATGCACATAGGAGAAAAAGTAGATGATAACAGAGGATGAAAACAAAAATGTATACTTCAGGAAAATCCGGTCTGGGGTGACGGGAGCAGAACTGGGGGAATAATATTTCGGTGTTTTTTTGCGATTCATGACTTGTCGTTTTACGATGATGGAATGGAATGAATAAGAATGTTGGGGTCTTAAACAGAAAGTAGTTATGTGAGACTCGTGAAAGGCCATGTGAAGACCCAGTATCCCAAATCGCATTCATACAAGACGAGATGCAAGATTGGTCCACTCCCATAGCACATGTGTAAACCCCTCATCACTCCTGTGCGCAAGTGCTCAATTGGACCCCTTACTTATTGATGCCTTATCATTCTCACTTGAAGTTTCTCTTCTCACAATCTACAACATGTGCTTGAGAATTCTTTTCAATCAACCCAGAAATATGCATCTCCTCTCCTTCATCTTCTCCCAAACATTGGGTCAGCACCCACCCCCGAAAATGATGACCAGTCGACAAACTTGACCGATTCGATGGGGTTGCACTTTTCCGGTTTGGGAATAGGGAGGGGTTGGGTTCTTTGGTGTTGTTTGAAAGCGTTATTTATTTGCATACGTCATTTTGAGGGGGGGATCGATGGTTTGTATTTTGTTTGGGGTATTTTGGGGGTTTGGGGGGCTGGGAATATATTGTGGAGAGGAGGGATGAATGGGGTGAAAGGGATGGGAGATTTGGGTTTGGATGTTGGATTGATGGGGTTACAAGGTAATGGAGATGAAGATGAAGATGAAGGTATTATTGAAAGATTGTACCACGTGATTCATAAGAGATAAATTTGTGTGATGTTCTTTTTATTGAAACCTTAGTTGGTTGTAACGCTGATTATTACCATTACCATTACCATCGATATTACCATTACTATCGCTATATACCCCCAGGTATGCCCCCTCCCAAAACCCCATAAACTCCCGCTCTTCCAGTTATCGTGACTGTATTCCCATTTCCACGTCTGAAGTATTGTAATTCCCCAAAAATTCACAGACATCCAATCCAGAAACGGATCTACAAGTCAGATAATTTGCGCACTCCACCTTCCTTAGAAACCTCTTCTTCCAAGTTCATCTTGCGATCCTCTTTGCGCTCGCCTGAAAATCTGAACCCAATCCAGGCTTGCATATCCTCACTCACAGCACCCTCAACCTCTTCCTCCACATGTTTCGCCGCAAAACATGTCTCGCCCCCTCCCGTCATATCCGCGATTCGTTTTTCCTCCTCGAACTGGCGCACCCGCGCGAAATCGTGGACCCAGAAGCCGCGGCCTTCGGCCCAGAGGGCGGCGGCCATTTCGTCGAGGTCGACGCATGTGATGACTGATTCTGCATCGGCATCGTATTCAGCGGATGTACAGACATCGGAGTTGTCTGGTTGATTGGAGAGAGTGCTGCTGGAAGATAGCTTCTTGGTGAGTGCGTACACGCTGCTGGGATGATATTCTGCCATGTCGAGATCGTTCTCGGCGTATGTAGAGGCGTCGGAGAGAGTGACAGTTTGATCCTCATGAAGAGCGTCGGGATCACTGGATGCGGTAGGATTGGTGTTGGTGATCGCATCTTTATCGATAGCCATATTGTCGGGAACTGGTGGTGATTGGATGGCCAGAGTAGATTTTTTGATGGGACCTCGTCTTAAGAGAGAGGGGTACATTGATCGAGAAGCGCGAGAGGCGTTCTTTCTTGCGCGATGATGAATGCGCGCGTGCTTTTTAATAGATGCGTGATACATGATTGCTTGGTTGAACAATATTTTCAAAGTATGAGAATTGGATGTGTACTTTGAGTGATGTGTCTTTACTTTTGTGTCTGGAGTTCGTTGAACTTGGGGGAATGCAGTTCATTTTATATAAAAAATTGCAGTTTGGAGCTAAATTGGTAAGTAAATAGAACATCAGTAGATGAAGTTTAAAAAGTACGCCAGTAGTGACAAGTACGCCATAAGTTGTTCAGTTTGACGTTAGCACGATACTAGACGCGAACTAAAACTCGCTAGAAAACACTCCTTATCCCAGTTAGCGAAGTTTAAAATGTCAAATCAAGGGGATCGACTTCGTTTCACTTTATGCACCCTATTAGAACCCTCTCTAGACGAACCAGTCGGCTTTTTGATCTCAATATCATGTTACATATCTCACAATCATGATCGAGGTAAACTTAATTATCATAGTGAAGAGCTAAATAGTTTTTTTCCTCACGCCGTTGAGTTTTGGCTTGGATGTCGTGCATATATCGTAGTGACGTACTCGAGCTATATAAATCTTCCAATCCAAATGGAGCTCATAACGGTATATGATGCAATCAATCCGAAACAAAAGATATATTTGGTAAGGCTTGAAGCTGGAATATAAACTAGTAAAATGATTGGCAGAATTGAAGAATAGGAAATAGCTGGATTGAGCTTAGTATCTAATTTAGACACATGGCAAGAGCAAGAAGTAGCTGGCAATCTATAATTGGAATTCTAGAAGATCTCTATTAATTTATTGTGTAATGACAAAAAATGCAGCCCAAATCATGGGATCTGGACATTTCAAGGTCATCAATCTGCTCCATGACGGGTTTAGGTAACCCTCAGTATTCGATAGCTTGGTATGCCCTCCTCGATTTTCCGAAATTCATGCCAGAAGTCTCAAACACTTGATTAGAATTTCAGTCCGCACTCATTGCTACAGTCTGGAGTTCTATTGCATACAATAAGTTTCAATTCAAAGGACTCTTGGCGTTATACCACTCCTTTTATAGAAGAATGACGGGTTTGAAGAACAATACAACATCTTGGATCTGGGACGGTCAAGGCAACGAGCTTGTCTCTTATAGGCTTAGATGGTCTTCAATAACTAACATCTACTGGTCTTTATCGGCGGTGATTACTGAAGCCTGAATTTTTTTGCTTTCTACGGAATCTTGTTTCCTACACAAGGACAATATATAGAATCCAAACTCCGGAGGAACGCATCCGTCTCTTATAGAAAGAGAATACATCGACAGCACAAGCCCAAAGATCAATCTTCTCCCTCGTATGACTAGAAAATCTACAAAACAACTCCCCAGGAAAACAACAGAGATCCATGACAAAATCTCAAAGAAATGAAAATATCGATGGTTCATCTTCGATCGCCCAGGTAATCCTCAGTACAGGGGCCGTACTAATCTTTTCTATATCATTTAATCCAGACCTCTGTACACTCATTTATCTAGTGATAAATTACGGTAAGCATTGAATGAACATGTACGATGTCCGTAGATAAGAGCAATGTCTTTATGATGATGGATTATGTAGATCACTTGGTACAACTAGAAGGCTCGCAATTACATTTGAAGCTTAGCTTCGTAGTTTTAATTGGTGAGTTAGACAGTCCTGGCATCTGAGATTAGCTTGTGTGGGATGAGCTCTGAGTTGGCTTCAGTAAAGAGGTTGTGGCTTTGAATCTAGATACGACGGCCAATTTGCTGTTGGATACGATTCAACCACCTCGTTCCAGCATTATAAGCTCACCAAAGAGAATCAAATTCTATGAATCTGTTGCAATATGAAATTTATAAGTACTGTGATCATTATAATTATGCCTATCCTATAAACTCTCCGCACTAGTCCTCCCCGCATACTGCGAATCAGAAATATCACTCTTTCCATCTCTATATTCCACAACAACACTCGTCGTTTTAATAATCCCATTGTATTTCATAATCTCCTCATCACTATCCCCATCTCCCTTGCTCGTCTCCCTTTGAATTCCATTCGAATCCTCCGTCCTCCCATCTTTGACATCCGGCATATCCGGTACATCCTCCAATCTGATCAGTCCATTCCCGTTACTTAATCGCGAGCTCTTAAAACCTGCTCCGTCCCGGGTTCCGCGTTCATATCTACTATTGCCCTGCAAAGCACAAGGTCCGATGTTCTGATTATTATAGACGTCATCTTCTGAAGAACCAAAGAGATTTGGAAACCATTGCCGCATCACAGGTTTGAGAGCAGGAGCAGATGCAGTAATTATGGCGAGGTTTATTTCAATTGCTGAGGTTACAAAGCCGATGCTTCGTGTAGAATCGACGGGGGGAGGGTTGAAAAAGAAGGTAACCATCATTACGAGACGGACTATGCCTACGACTGTTACTCTATACGATGGTCAGTTTGATCTTCAGATGCGTAGTTCGAGAAAGGAATTTTGACTTACAAACTTCCGAGAAAGAATATCCCAATGACTGCAATTTTAGTTTTCCGGGGCATTTTCAATCCAATGACGATCCAGAATGGAACGATTAAAACCAAAATGTCTGTGACGAGAGCGATAACTGAAGTAGCAGCATAAAATGCACCTTGTTCAATACAATGGCCTCCGGGAATATCAACTTGCCAGTTGTATGCAATGGGTGTACATTGGAAGATGACTACAATAAAAATAGCTACCATCAAAGCGTTATTAATGATCAAGAGTGCCCATATCATACGTTTGATTTCAATCTTCTGCCCTGCGAGACGGAGGAAGAACATCAAGATGGAAGTCTTGACAACGGCAAGAATTGGGTTATAGAGAACTTGAACGGCATAGTTATACTAAGAAGTGTCAATAAGCAGTGTTATAGGCCATTGTTAGGGTGCGACGAACTTTGAGTCCAGGAATCGGGTCGTGATCGAGTGGTACATCCCATATATGTAGCCCTACAAAATTGAATATAATGTCTACAGTAGTTTTGTTAGCGAGCACCCATGAGATATTTTACGTTCGAGTTACCTACATTGCCAATGTACATAAGTCTCCGCTATGGACAAAATCATAGAGAGTACGATGAGGCCATCATCTGTAATAGACCGTAAGAGGACTGCCACACAACGACTCAAAATTGGGAATCCTTACCCAAACCGAATTGACTTAAACTGACTCTGCTCCATACCCTGAGACACACAGTGATCAATGCCAAAGCTGGGCTGAAGGCGACGATGAACAAAGCCAAGTCTTGGAGTGAGGTATCAACCATAGCGAAAGGTATTTGGAAAAGAGACTTGGAGATCCTGTTCCATAAGCCCTCCACTCAATCGATTGGCGGTCACTTGAGTAAGGCATTTCAAGTATAAATGTTCGGGAGTAATTGCAGTCTCGAATGCAGAGTTGACAGCAAAACTTTAAACTTTCCCAGGATGTTTCTTTAAATTGAAATATATTTTGAAGGCTAGGGTGCAGTATTCCTCACAACAGGTGCAAAATTCTCTACTTTCTTGTTTGATTTCCAGAAACAGGGCGACCAGTCTAGAACAAGCTTGATCAGGCCGCGTGTTGTTTGAGGGTCTTTCCATTCCAGTTCGTATTTATGATCTAAATAAACCCCACATGACTTGGGTCCAAATCAGACTTCTCAAGAAGCAATACTAAAGTGTGCTTTTCATGAGGAAGCTTACCTAATTAAATTAAATTTTGGACCGCTATAGAAGTGGAGTAGGTCACATAAGACGGAGAGCTGCTCATTCTTTGTTACCCAAAGAATTGCTTCAGAACATTATAGACTTCGTATGGCTCTCTACTTCTTTGCTCAAGAAGGATACAACTCCGAAGCTAGATCTATATACCACAAAAGACAAGAGAAAAAAGAGTTTAGATTGATTTCATCAGCAGTGAGACCGTATACTTTCCAGCCGCACGCATGGAAACTAGAGATACTCCCGTAGTTCCGGCATCACTTCCCGGGCTACCGGTATCTGTAAAATGGTTGTTGACTCTCGGTCCACAAAGGACTTTATTATAGATAGTCTGCCACTGCGATAATAATGAGACGCAACAACGCTTTTCATTTTCCTAGAAAGCATCTGCAACCTACACACTGTGTCCGCACTGAAAGTGATTGAAATTTGAAGGGGTGATACCAATTAGTACCTTCACAGGTTCACAAAAGACGACTTTCTATCAAGATTTTGCTAAGGAGGAGCCGCTTTGGTATAAAATGTCAGGTTCGCCAATTACCCACATCACACCTTATGTGGCGTATGAGTAAATGGTGATATTCGAGGCGGTGACAAACCGCGAACAATACCAGCATCAATCGGGCAAGAATTATTCAGACTGGAAAATTTCCGCAAGTAAGCCGGCTCAAGTATGGGAAAGAAAAAAACCCCATAAGAGTTGATTAGAAACTACCGATCTTGTGGATTTATATTGAGTTTTGTTTGGATTTCACTTCATCTGTGACCAGGGGAAGTCGGGTGCTTCTACAGTTCTGGGGCCGCAGTGGAGACTACCCTGCCAATTCCGTCAAAATTGAGAAAGCGATGACCCACTTAGGTATCTTTAAAGTTTTCTACGTTGTACTCTTGGGATCATGGTTCGACGTAAGATGCAGACACAATCCATGATTAATGAAAACCTGTGGTTATGCAATTTGAGCATACATGGTGGTGAGATCGACAGAGGAATTCCTCATATCAAGGGAAGGAGAGATAAACTTGCGGTTATCTTCGATACAATGGATACAACTAGCGTCCCAGAGACCTTCGAAACAACTTCCATAAGGCAGAGATTCACAATGTTAGCACCGTGCTTTACGCGGCATATTAATACCTAGATCCATGTCGTTAGAGGAGCAGTGTGCAGCTTTGCAGTTTATGATTGTTCGTCCGAAGAAAACAAACAAGGAGATCGGCAGGGCTTAAAATTGGTGTCCCGTTGAGCAGAAAAATGACTACCCCAGCGTGCCCAGGAGAAGAAAACCATCCTGTGCTTTAAGCAAAAAGGTGGA